GCAAAATTATTAAAAAATTGTGAATAGAAATTTCACCTTGTAATTATTAACACATTCACTAATGAAAAGACAGTGGAAAACATAAAATATTTATTTTATCAGAAAATGTACACATTTACTAATAATAATTCTAGTAAATTTTCTAATAAATTTTAAAAGGGGTGGATTCGATTAGTTCCCATAGGTGAAAACTGTGAGAGAATTTTTATATAACCCTATTTTTTTTCTTGTGAATTTAGCTTCGAATTTAGAAAATTATTTAATTTATTAAATCGTGAAATATTAACTCTAAATTTACATATTTATTTTTCTAAGCTTTTATAAAAATAATCGTCATAAAAGAAACGTTACTATTTTGTTTAACTGTTTTTTTTTTGAGGTTATATCTGTTTACATTTAACTTTTATATAGTGTTGTTAATCAAAAATTTACTATGCCAAATTTTTTTATTGAACATTTATTTTATATTAATTTTCATATAAAAATTGATTCAAATTTGCAAATCAAATTTTTTGTGATTTTTGTTAGTTAGTTTTGTATATACATTTTCTTAAAGCTTGATCTTTGATCGATTGAATGAACTTAAACGAAGTTAAATTAATTTATAAAAAAAAAAATTGTAATAAAAAAATATTGATTGAACATTTTATTATTTATTGTTTTGATGTCATGTTTACAAATTTAATGTGGCCATCGATTGTAATTAATGTATCGCTGCAGACGATGTATGGGATTAAAATACAAAACAAACAAACAAACATAACGAGGACAGTCAATTATGCGATATAATTGCGAATGCATTGTGAACGCGAAACAATGAGACATGAAAAACCGAATGATTAATTAATACCAGATTCGGAGTATAATTGGCTGCGATGATGATGGTTTTCCCATTTTCCCATTTTTTTTTGTTAACCAATTGGATTCGATTTCACGTCTCACTTTATTAATAATCAACGGAATGCGAGTGTATGAAAGAGAGAGAGATTGTTTTTTCAGTCGTTACATAACAACGTCCACGTGGCATGTATATAGTTTATTGGCTTTGGTGCGTTCGTCCGTGACAAATGGCTGATTTATTTGCGAGCGTAAATCAGGCGACATTTTCATGTCCCGTTTTAATTCCGACGTGGAGAACCGTCCAAGCGATCCTCCTGCAGGCGATGTTGCGTAACGAGAGAGCGTCAGAGGATTCCGGGTCGCGGTCTTCAAACACTTGTCGCCAGAGCTAACACATCCAAAGTCTATTAGATGTATCTTAGGGTAAACAATGTTCGAGAGAAGTTTTGGGGATGGAGATATAAGGTTATCACCTGCTGAAGAGCGAAAACTTTTTAAATAATTTTCCTCTTTACGAACTTTCCTATAGCTTTTCAGGGATTTCCTTCATCTAACCTGTCTTCTCACAAAAACAATATGCATTGCATTTTACCCTTCGTTAAATATTTACTGAATTGCTTTCAAAAGTTTAATTCCAAATCCCTTCGCAAATTAGACTTAACAATCTCATTTCATGAAGAAAATTCAAAAAGTTTCAGATTAAAACAACAATTTATTAATTCTTGAAAGACTAATATTAACTGTAATTTTGCTCATTTATTATTCTTGTATTAACGAAAATTCCAATAGTTTTTACTACAATATTAAATTATGTTCTTTTTATGTCCTTTACAAAATCATTGTACAAATTGCAAATTCCTCTACTTAAAACTAAAATAACAATGTTATCATCATTTGCAACATGGTCGGAAACTGAAAAACAAGTTTTCATTTAATTTGCAGATGTTACACATTTATTTATAGCTCGTTTTTTTCTCTCTCTTGCAACTTTTACACTGTTATTTATTTATTTCGAGGCGGAATAATGAAGCGGAATTTGCATTTTCCCGGCGTCGCGAAAATTACGTTTCGCATTAATAAAATGGCAATTAAACGCGCTGCAACATTTTCATACCGTTTACATACATTCGCACACGAAATGCGCTACTTTTTTGTTGTTGTTGTTGTTGCTGTTTCTTCTGTTTGCTTCGGGACTTTGGAAGTTGCAATTAAAGCAATTGCGTTTTAAAGGGAGAAGGTATTAAAGCGGGGTCGAAGGATTCGTATAGGAGGAAAAAAAAAGGGATAATAGTTGCAGGAAGTGAAGAAAAGGAGGGAGGCAATTGAATTAAGCCGACGAAGGTTCTGCGGCGATGGAATCCGGTCTTTTCGGCTCCCTTTTGCGGCAAGTACACATCCTTACGGTCATTAGAGTTTCCCCCACATCCTCAGGGGGAGGATTTCCTCCACGATTATTCGACGAAAGTCTGATCTCCTCTTGCGCTCGGACGAGCAGCATATGAAGAAGTACATTCGGCTTTTGTGTCTTTAACGTTAAAACCATTCGAAACGTAATGTTTCATCACCGATTCTTTCACATGGTTGATCAAAATTACGCCATCTATTCGCTTGTAATACAAGTAATCTTTAGCTAAAACCATTGAAAAAGTAATGTTTTATTACATATTCGTTGAAATGTTATAATATCTTAGCATCCTATAAACATATCTGGATGTAAGAGCATTGCTCTAAACGCGTAGGTCTGTAGCATCCTAAATTGTTCTTGCATGAGACACCGAGCCTTTTCTTCATGCAGCACCGAAGGCAAGCAGCAGGAACGCATTAAATGCGGCCAATTAAAATGCAAATGATACACACTTACATGTAATAGTTTTTACCCCCTTCGCGCATTTACTCTTTTTTCTTGTTTTTGTTGCTGCTATTTCTTTCATCTGCTTCTTCTGCTGTTGCTTCGAGTGGGTGAAGATTAATTTACTTCCTCTCCGGGCCATTCTCTTCCTTCCTAAGCCGATTTCGCGCGTCTACTTTCAACAAGCTTATTACCATCCAGTTTTCAACCGTGTCTTCAAATCATGATGATTGCATCTACAATCTCTGCAGATTACTTTGCGTTAACATACAAAAAATATACACTGAAGATGTATTCACTTGTATCTCCAAGATTGCTCAAGAGTTTCAAACCTATTCATAATCTACAAGTCTTAGCTTTTTATACACTTACATTACATTCATAATTATACAAGTAATAGCTTCTTCACCCATTTATTGGTGCTTTGTCATATTAATACACAAAAAAGTACGAAATTTATAATGTTAGACATTTTCTTAATTACTCAATAATCATACCACATAATTAGATCAGCGAAGATACAAATAAAAGACAAACCACTAATCTTTCTAATAAGTATACTTTCATGCTTGTGATCATTATTACTCTTTCCGTAATATTTTTTTATGATATTTTTTTTTAAATTTGGAAATGCAGTGTCTCATATTTTATATAATTACTCAAATACAAATTTGCATAAACTACAAGACTTAACTTTATATGCACTTACAGTAAATTCATAATTATACAAGTAATAGCTTCTTCACCCATTTATCTAACTCTTTTATTTTTGATTTGTCATATTAATACACAAAAAGTACGAAATTTATAATGTTTGACATTTTCTTAATTACTCAATAATCATACGACATAATTAGATCAGCGAAGATACAAATAAAAGACAAACCACTAATCTTTCTAATAAGTCTACTTTCATGTTTGTGATCATTATTACTCTTCTATGATATTTTTTTAAAATTTGGAAATGCAGTGTCTCATATTTTATATAATTAGTCAAATACAAATTTGCATAAACTACAAGACTTAACTTTATATGCACTTACAGTAAATTCATAATTATACAAGTAATAGCTTTTTCACCCATTTATTGGTGCTTTGTCATATTAATACACAAAAAAGTACGAAATTTATAATGTTTGACATTTTCTTAATTACTCAATAATCATACGACATAATTAGATGAACGAAGAAACAAATAAAAGACAAACCACTAATCTTTCTAATAAGTCTACTTTCATGTTTGTGATCATTATTACTCTTCTATGATATTTTTTTTAAAATTTGGAAATGCAGTGTCTCATATTTTATATAATTAATCAAATACAAATTAAAGATAAAACTAAAGAATTTTCAAAGAGTTTACTGTGAGATTTTCAAAATTTAATAAAAATATAATTATAGTTTGAATGCTTTCACATTCTATTTAATTACTAGATATGTAATTAGAATATAGAATATGCAAATTAATTAATTTCTACTTTTATGTTTATTATCATTATACTACAATAAGTTATGAAAATTAACTAAGTATTTTGTTAATTACATATGTGCACCTTTTGTTTGAATGTATACAAATGTCGGCAGAACATTTTTTTATATAGTAATTACGAGATTACAGAGAATAGAGTTTGTTGAGAGATGGAAACGTCGCGTAACATCAGTTTCATAACAAAGAGCTATCATTCTTTTGTAACGAAAATAATGTACAGTAGAGTTCATGCATATAACCTGGATCAGGGATTCGCGCAAGAATGGGATGATGAAGTGGATGCCCGTTCGTCATCCTGGCTGTGACGCAAAGCACGGGTTATAACAACATGAACAGAACTAAACCGGCTGTGTTATTTTTTTTTTAGAGAAATGCACAGCGTCTCTCTCATATAATAGTTTGTTTAGTATAAATGGCTGCAAAAGGGCGGAGGAGAGGAAAGTCATGATGTATTCACGAAGTTTACAACCCTCTCCGTGCATATTCCGAAGGAGAAGAAGTTTTTATTTCCGCGCGAGCGAGTATCACCCTCGCCCCCAAAACGGCATCAGCATGTCCTTCATCCCCTCAGTGGAATTACCATAAACTGTTCATTGCTCAATTTCATCTCGAAAACTAACTTTGCGTTTCTCCCCCTTCGCTAAATGCGAAACGGCATAACAAGCAGAGGCTGGTAAAAAAAGAATTGAATTACCCGCAATCAGGACGATTGCGTAACGTAACGAACGATTCAGATGTTTACGGAATAACAATTAGAGAACTGATGATGATGTCCCTGCGGATATTTCGTTTTGCTGATCATCCGTTCTTTGGTTTCAGGTCCTCCAGGTCCACCGGGTCCACCGGGAACGCCGGGAAAACGCGGCAGGAAAGGGAAGAAAGGAGACGCAGGAGAAGCGGGACCACCGGTAAGTCACAGATCGCCCGAGCGAATCCACCAAGTTTTTTAGCCGTGTATTTATTGTATACACACAAAATAATTTACTTGCAAACACCAATTGTAAATGAAGGCGACGCCGGCGACGAATTTCTCATTTTGGTTTTCTCTTTTTATTTGCCCTTAGGGTTCGGCTGGGGCGCCGGGCAAGAATGGCTTTCCGGTATTTATTATTATTTTTTTTTTATTTTTATTTTTTTTTATATACACATACTTTCTCTCCCTATTCATTTATTTGCATTATTCACTCAGTAATAATTGTTAGCTTCATTCTCATTTTTGCGAATCAAATTTTTCAAGCCTTTCGCAACAAAAAAAAAATACAATCAACTGATATGTGAATTCATCCAGCTAATAATAATTAGGCCGAACTGAATTTCAGGGCGAAAAGGGTCATAAGGGCGAGAGGGGTTACATGGTAAGATTTTGTTTTGCACACAAGGGATATTTTTGTTGGTTTTTTATATTTTTTTTTTGTAAATGGAAACTAACCGAACCCAGAAAGCCCTTAAACTGACCTCTAAAACCGCAACACAAACAAACAAAAAAAAAAGCAAACAAACGCCTATATTTTGAATTAATGGAACGCTTTTCTAACACCCTGTCACAACCCTGTCGAGTAGTCGTCGTAGCAATCATATCAATCGATTAACAGAAATTAGTCGGGATTTTAACTTCTTTTTTTTCCAATTTTTTTTTTTTTTTGAACTTGAGGATTTTCTTGTTCTCGTTATCTGTTACAGGGATCGACAGGGATGCGCGGATATCCGGGATTTCCGGTTTGTTTAATTTACGAATATTTTTTATTGGTAGATGGCGCGCACAAAATGGTGCGAAACGAACTGTAAATAATAATGAACAAAAAAAAGAAAGAAGCAAGACAAGAAATTAAAAAGAATCTACTAATAAACAAATATTAATAAACTAAACTAACATTATTGAAGCGTGTACCATGTAGAACTTATATAATTAATCTTAATTTTTAATCGGTGTTGGTGTTAATTAATTAATATTGTTGTTGTTGTTTTGTTGTAATTGTGCATTAGTAGAAAACATACGTTTCCTAATTAATATTAGCTAAAAAAAATTGTCATTAACGTGCATTTGGTTTATTTTATTTTTTTTTTTAACTTAAAAAATAAAAACGCATCTTCTTCCTAACTGTACTAACATCCAAAATTATTAATCACACATCAAAAATTATTTTTTTTTCTCATTTTCTATCGCCGTGTCCGTAGTTTCTGTAATAATGTTGTCTTGATTTTTCTTTAGGGGCCTATTGGTTTAGACGGACCCAAAGGAGATCCGGTATGTTATTTAATTATCTTTTACACAATTTATTATCTTCAATTGATAAAAAAAACAATACAAATTAGATTAGGAAACGTATCAAGTTTTACAGATTTTTTTCTTAATTTTATACTTAAAATATAGTTAAAGATCAACAAAGAAACCTCGAAGTAACATTTAGTAAATTTAGTTGATTTCAATGAGAAAATTGTCTTTACTCTTCGAGTATTCTTTGGATGATGATTTAACTGATACATATTACGCAATTTGTTTCGGTTCTTCTGCATTTTTTGGTAATGTTTTTCTCTTTCTCTCTCTGTTCTCAGGGCAAAGCCGGAGATAAGGGTCAAAAGGGTGACGTGGGTAATCCAGGATTCGACGTCTTTTCCGCAGTCAAGGTATTACCAACGATTTATTACTAAATTCCTTCCTTACACTTCTCCTTATATATTTCTCAAACGATTACATCTTTGAGATCTCGAAACAAAATCACCTCTTTCTTTTTCAAAACGCAAATACACATAATTTAATTAGTCTTATACTTACTAGTGTTTCTCTCTTTTTTCGACTACTATACAAAAAAAAAATGCTTCTTTTTTTTACTGCTATCTCTTTTTCTTTCCCGATCAGCAGCCCGGAAGGGTGAGTATTTCGCTTGCGTTTGACAATCTGCACCACTCATTTATCTCATCTGTTGCTGCGATATTGATTCTTCATTTCTTTATTGAATTTATTCTTTTTACAGCTTTTGGACACATAATTTTATCACAAACATCAATATTTAATGTAAATCTAATATTATACAATTTTTCACTTAATTTAACCATATCAGGACGCGTGGCGCATTTATCCGCCATATCCCTTATATAAAACTCTATTACAAATCTCCACATTTAGACATACATTAAATATTGTATAAAACAAAGAGTTTAAATAATTCAGGTATTTTTACTTTACCAATTGAACACTTTCATCAATTATTTGAAAATACGTAAACTAATAAAGTAAAATTTATTGAATACATACAGAAATTCATAATTTTAATGCAATTAGTAAAGCATTAATTACCTGTAAATTTATACTTTTTATTCTTCATTTCTATATTGAATTTATTCTTTTTACAGCTTTTAGACACATAATTTTATCACATACACAAAACATCAATATTTAATGTAAATCTAAATTATAATCTAATATTATATAGTTTTTCACTTAATTTAACTATTTCAGGACGCGCGGCGCATTTATCCGCCATATTACAAATCTCCACATTTAGACATATATTAAATATTGTATAAAACAAAGAGTTATATAATAATTCAGGTATTTTTACTTTACCAATTGAACACTTTCATCAATTATTTGAAAATACGTAAATTAATGAAGTAAAATTTATTGAATACATACATAAATTCAAAATTTTAAAGCAATTTGTAAAGCATTAATTACCTGTAAATTTATATTTTTTTTTCCTCTTCACTTTATTTTAAATCTATCAACTATATCCAATTTGATTTATTTACAAAACATCCTACAAATCGCTTCAATTAAATGCTCTATTTACATTAATTAACAACATCAAATTAATACATTAATTGAAGTTGTTAATTGTTAATAAATATTGCATGCAAATTGAAACATTTCTCCTTAATTAATTAATTAATTATTATTTTCAGCATTGTTTTCTATTTATATTTTGTTTCGTTTAGTTATAGAATTTTATTATACATTTTTTTCTCCCTCTCTCTCACCAATTTCCATATTTCCTTCGTGCATTATTAAATTCATGTTTCTTTATTAAACAACTGTTTCATATCTCGTGCAAACACGCCAACTTGTATTACATATTTCATACGTGCTCTCACATTACAGTTTCCTTCATCCCCACATATTTTTTTTTATACAAATACTTCATTTATTATTCCCTTCCTTATTTGAAAAGTTTTGCAAACAAATTTCATTTAAAATATTTCAACTTAAAATGATTAGTTTCTTATAAACTTCAGTTTTTATTTAAAAAAAATAATAAGTAATTTTTCTTAAAATGATTCATAAAATTCATATATTATCAAATTTGAACAATTTCTTATAAGATTAAGTAAAAAAGATAATTTAAAACATGAAATTTATTAATTATGTAATCATGTTATTATGTTCGAATAATGGAATTTTCTTTATGAAATTAATTGTTTATTGCATTTGCAGTTTGTAGAAGTTATTCGCATTTCAATTAATCGGAATGGGGTAAAAACATTAATGGTTTTTGTCTCGCGTAATTTATGGTCGCAATGAGCATAATTTAGTTGAATTAACTACCGCAGAAACGCAATCACATTTACATTGAAAACAAAAGAAAAATTTGATAATTGAAACAATATTGAAAACAAAATTTTCATTGTTTGAAACCATAAAATTCTTAAATTAATATTATAGTATGAATTCGGAAAATTGAAATGAAGGAAAATGTTTTGAAAAATTAATTAGAAAATTGAAAATCTGTTTGTGGACAACAAGTGGCATCATCTTCACTAGGAATCGTCGAGTCTCGTTCCACTCCTGGGATCAGAATTGAAAGACTTTCGCGAAACTGCAGTAATTAATTAAATTAATTAAAATACTTTTCCACTCCGCTCACGTTGAGGACAACGGCGCCAGAACAAAAATCTAATTTGCGCGCGTTTTAATTAAAAAAAAATTACTACAACTAAAAAATAAATACAACTTTGTAACTAGAATTTCGCGATTCGACATTTTAATTCAATTACTGCTGTTGTTGTTATTCTGCATTTCCAACTGTTATTTATTTATTTCCTTCCTCTGTATCTCTTTCTCTCATTTCGAATTCTTTTTTTTTTGCTCCTCCGGTTTATTCCATTCCAATTTTAGTTGGTGTAATTAACTTGTTGGAGCATTTCATTTCCCGGCGATTTGTTTCCGTTTGTTTTACGTGCGGCCTAATTACAACCATTCCATCTCATACGCCATCTAGCGGAATACACCCAAACCCATTTTTTTTTATTAGTTCGTTTTGTGTTTACAATGTAAATATGTTCATTTTTATCTTTTATCCAGGGTGTGCGTGTGTGTAACTGAGTTTGTTTCAATTATTCATTGCTTTATTCAAAATCTTACTTACCAAGTACTACTTGGCAAGTATCGTGTTAAATCTAAATTATAATCTAATATTATACAGTTTTTCACTTAATTTAAGCATTTGAGGACGCGCGGCTCATTTATCCGCCATATCGTTTACTCAAGAAACTTTGCTTATACAAAATTCTATTGCAAATCTCCACATTTAGGCATACATTAAATATTGTATAAAACAAAAAGTTTAAATAAATCAGGTATTTTTGTTTTACTTTCCCAATTAATTGAATACTTTCATCAATTATTTGAAAATACGTAAATTCATAATTTTAAAGCAATTTGTAAAGCATTAATTTCCTTAAAATCTTACTTACCAAGTACTACTTGGCAAGTATCGTGTTAAATCTAAATTATAATCTAATATTATACAGTTTTTCTTCACTTAATTTATCTATTTGAGGACGCACGGCGCATTTATCCGCCATATTGCTTACCCAAGAAACTTTGCTTATACAAAATTCTATTGCAAAACTCCACATTTAGGCATACATTAAATACTGTATAAAACAAAAAGTTTAAATAAATCAGGTATTTTTGTTTTACTTTCCCAATTAATTGAATATTTTCATCAATTATTTGAAAATACGTAAATTGATAATTTTAAAGCAATTTGTAAAGCATTAATTACCTGTAAATTTATACTTTTTTCTCTTCACTTTATTTTAAATCTATCAACTATATCCAATTTGATTTATTTATAAAACATCCTAAAAATCGCTTCAATTAAATGCACCGAAACCCATTTTTTTTATTAGTTCGTTTTGTATTTACAATGTAAATATATTCATTTTTATCTTTTATCCAGTGTGTGCGTGTGTGTAACTGAGTTTGTTTCAATTATTCAGTGCTTTATTTACTTACCAAGTACTTGACAAGTATCGTGTTATATATACAAGATGTAGCAAGTCTCCATAACTACAGTAGTTCAATTCTCTATAAGTTACTTGACAAATATGGTTACTATAGTTACTTATAAATTAATGTCGTAACTTGACACTTAGTCATTACATATTAAGAATAGAAAGACATGAAAATAAAGTACTGAACATTGATTTTTGTGTGTTTAGAACGTGCATATTTTTACTTTCTGGATGAATCAATGCTGGAATATCAATTTGTTGGTGTTTTTTCAGGGTTTAAAAAGATCTGTGACGACTCTGAGAGGCGGCACTCTTGGATACGCAGAAATTGTCGCCGTGAAGGTGAACTCGAAACGCAACCTTAGCGTTTTACAAAAAAAATCGTTTGCACGTTAAACATATTAGATTTTATAGTTTAAATTTCATTTTTAAAAAATGTATAATTTTACTTTTTGATAGTTGTTTTTGTTTTGACATTACTTTAGTTTTTGTTTTTTTTTTTGTTCGTTTTGTAGGGTTTGCAAGAAAGGGGTCACAATATTTCAGCGGAAACTATCATCACGTTGAAAGTGAGTTTGAAATCATTATAAACATCTCAAACTAATTTAATTTAATAAATTCGCGATTTTTCATTAACAACTTGGACACTTTTCTAGCATTCTGAGTAAGGTTTTTTTTAAGTTGTTGTTGTTGCATGAAGCGTGTTTATTGTTACTTTAATTAATGGTTGTTGTTGTTGTTCTTTTTTGTAATATTCTTTTGGGTGATTTAGGGAGAACCAGGAGAGCCAGGACCGCCGGGACCACCGGGACCTCCGGGTCCTGAAGGACTTCCAGGACACGACGGAAGACAGGGAATTCCCGGGGAGCAGGGTCCGCCTGGCGACAGGGGCGAAGCTGGACCTTTGGGCCCTATTGGACCACCCGGAATCGACGGACTCATGGGGCCTAAGGTAAAAGAGAAATTCCAGCAATCATTTCATGTATTTACCAACAAACAAACAGTTTCTATATATATATTTCTTTTTTTCCCACACACGTATATAAAAACAGTGCATTTTCATACTTTCTCTCGTGTTGATTTATGTAGGGCGATAGGGGACATGTAGGGACGACGGGATCGGCCGGATATCCAGGATTACCGGGACACATGGGTTTGCCTGTACGATTTTATGATTTATAACATTCATTTCTTTCTCTTTCTCCATGAAAATCGTATTCTTTCGACGTTCTCAAAACTAAATTCTTTTCACATTTATTTAGGGAATTCCCGGCAGAAACGGCTCCAAAGGTGAACGTGTAAGTCTACTTTATCTCTGCAAAACACATATCTAAGGTTGATGGATTTAGCACACAATATTAATGGAATTAACAAATTTTCAGGTTTAATTAAATTAATATGTAAAAATTGCATTATTTTTATCCTGCAAGGTGGATGGCATTCGCACAAATAATACCACAATTTCATTTACTTAATCAACTAATAGATTTATCGGTTTTTAGAGCACAACTAATTTCCAGGTTTTAAACTTAATACATGATTTTTACTAATTTAACATTTTCAGGTTTAAACTAATTAATTATTAACGAATCTGCAAACTTCTATTTCAAAAAATGTTACGTTTTAAACGAAATACTTCGCAAAATAAGACAAGGGTCTTTAAATCTAATTAAAAGCCTCTGTGAAACATATACAAAAATTTAACTGGCAGATAAAGATCGTTGTGAATCCTCGTCATTTCGAAGAGACGGCCAGACTTTCGTACCACACGCTGCGTTTCTTTCCTCTTCATTTTATTCCGTGTCATTGGTTTTAATAATTACAGCTCATTCCTCGCTGCGGTTTTCCTTCTCCCATCTTTTTGTTTCTTCTGTAATTTTCTTGTTGCTCTCATTGGTTTTTTCATAATTATGGTCACGGTTTCGTTTCCCATTTCAACGTTTTAACACCCATACTATTTTGTACGAGTTTACTACCGTAATTGAATTAAAACCGCTCGTAAAACTGCTGTCTTTTATTTCATTTTATTTCTCATTTATTTTCCCCACCAAACTCGACTTATTTTAAACTTTTATTTCATTATTTCAACTTTTAGCAAAATAAAAATTATCTGAAATAATACAGAAAAATTTACAAAAACTTCTTGTCTCATCATTTTGATTAGAAAAGTTTGTGATTAAATTGAAGTTTGTGGTTCGTTTAATTACAGGTTTATATTTACTTCTTTTTTCTTGCGGTGTTGGTGTATAATAATGTAGTTTTCGTCTCGTAACGAATGTGTGATGAATATGGAAAGAGCGAATCGTTTTGTAAAACATACCATTCTTTGATATTTCCAGGGCGACAGAGGCGACAAAGGCGAACGAGGACTGACGACGACGCTCAACGGAGATCAATTCCCAGCAGGAATGCTCGAAGGACCGCCAGGACCTCCAGGTCCACCCGGTAACTATTTATTCATTATTCAATCGATGCAAATCCATTTTTGTGAAATTAACTAAAAAACCTAATTAATACATTAATCAAAAAGAAATAAGATAAAAAAAAAGAAATTGCATCATTTACTAAACGAGTTGGTTTCCGAGGTGAAAAAGGTGAGCCCGGTCCGGTCGGACCTCCTGGTTTACCTGGTGAAAAGGGTGCCCGTGGAAGACGAGGCAAACGGGTAACGTACCACAAACTTTTTGTACCCAAAAGCGATGATATTATTATTGTCCATGTCTCTTTCTCTCGAAATATGTGAAATGTTCATTACAAAAAAAAAAGAAACGGGGAAAAAGGAACCACACCTTTCTCATTGCATAGCTTTACATTTATTTTGTTTGTTCTTGTCGTCTGTTCTTGCATGGTATTATAAATTGCATTACTAGCCGCACGTCGCATGTTTTAAATTTTACAAAAAATGAAAATCTCTTCAGTTTAATTATGTGTTAATATTTAGTTTATGCGTAATAATACACCCACGCACACGGCGTAGATTAATTCCTTAGTCTTAAGTATATATATTTTTTTTTTAATTTAATGTAAATTAATTCACCAGCGTTTGTAATTTATTTATTTATTTGATCACCTGTAATTATTACATGTTTATTATTCTTTGTAGCCGCTACACTAGTACTACCACTACCACTACTACTACTACTACTACTACTACTACCTAGCACAAGACACACCTATTAACATATCTAATTTAATCTGTCGACCACAGCTAACTTTGTGTTTTCTGTGTGTGTGTGTTGTTTTTTTTTTAATATACATAAATCTGTTTCTGAACGGCAACAGATGCTTATTTACATTTACCATTCGTAAGTATGTTTCTTTATATTTTTTTATTTAAATTTATCTTCGTTTAATTAATATTAACTTTTAATTAATAATATTTTATTTTGTGTCCTGTTTTCTTTACTTTTTTTTTTAATTGCCTTTTTCGTTTTTCAAACTATCTCTTCAATTCGACAATTTGTTATTTAATTTACACGTTTCCACACGCAAGAGCGTCATTAAAGTGGGATAGATCATGCGATATTAGTTGACTCCCATTAAATTCCTCCAGTTCTCATTTCAATCATTCTCTTTCGTTTTCTACGATTTTGTTTATTTATTTATTTATTTTCTTTTGTTTTGTTGTTACAGATGTGTTGTTTATTATAGTTCGTGGATATAATCATTCCGTGAATCGTTTTATGGTTGTTTGACTTAAGTTATTTGCGTCTGATTTATTACGAGTAAACAATCCATTAAGCAATTTTAATTAGATATTAACCTACTTATATCAAAAGCAATGATTATTCTTAATCATTAAGCGTTGACAATTAATTAAGTACTAAATTATTAATAATTCGAAGAATTCAACAGTAAAACAACATTTTTTATTAAACATTTCTACATTCTTATATTACAAACATATTTTTGCAAATTATATAATATTAGGAAATTATATTCAAAATGTTTCCTTTATAGCAATTTTTTTAAGTAATAAAATTTCTAAAAGTAAAAATTTCACCAAAAAACACTAAAAAAAGTACAAAATAAGTGATTTTATAATAATTATTTTTACATAAAATTATGTAAACGCACTGATTTATATTGTTAATGCAAAAAGAAATTGAAGAAAATGTAAGATTCTTGAGATATCTCTATTTAGGAAAGAGATATCAACGTTGTGTCAAGCGACGAACCCGAAATGAAAAATTTTGAAATCTTTCCAAAATCAATTAGTTTTTTTCTTTATTTCGAATCTAATTTTTATAAAATGATTGATTTATTACAGATACTTGAAATTATTATTAATATAACAAAATTTTTCATTATTGTTTATTTTTTATTCTAATTATATTTATTTTATTAGATAATACATAAAGAAAAATTGTAATCATTTTAAATAATTAATTTTTGTAATGTAGAAATTTTATAGTAGAAAACCATAAAACGATTTTTGTATTTTATTACATAAGTAAATTTTGTGAAGTAGTTTAGAAAAATTCGTTGTAGAGTAAAAAAGCATGTGTCAGTAAATGTAGGGGAATTTGGTGATAGGTTTTCGTGTGAAAATAACAAACAAACAAAGAAACAAAATGAATCAGAAAAAAAAATGTGTAAGCTGTGACAATGTGTGTCTGAGTGTGGTTTCGTTCTGAATGGGCAAAAAGGTTTGGATACGTCTCGATTACCTGAGGTTAAAGGTGAACCAGGTGCGAAAAGGTCCCAGGTACACAAATAAACAATCGAAAAGTAAAATTTCATTAAAAAAAAAGCCCCGAACACACCAGATACACCAGTCGGTTCACTTCCTGCTCTTCGATTTCCACCTGCTCTAATTTTTCACACTTTTCTGTACATCCGTTTTTTTGTTTTTGGTTTTTCTCTATTAAAGGACCGAAGGGCGATTCTGGAATCGCCGGACCCGTGGGAGAGGCCGGAACCAACGGTGAGGCCGGTCCACAAGGACCTCCAGGACTTCCGGTAAGTCTACACAACAATTTCAATCATCCGCAGATTGTTAAAGTGTATCTACACCATAGTGAAAATCGTAGCGCTCGATAAGTAATTAAGATTTTCTTTATAATTACTTTTTCTTAATTTATCGTGAGACGTCGCTTTACCACCTAAGATTTTAATCATCCATAATGCTGCAGTTCGTTACTTTAAGGTTTCGGTTGCAGCGAAGGATTCATTTTATACTGAAGTTTATGATGCAGTTTGTTCGTTTGTTTCATCTTGAAATAAATTAGATTACGTTTAATATTACCTTTTTAATGGGGATCCTCTCAGATGGCATAAACTAAACTTAATCACTGTTTATTCAAGAAGAAACAGAACTTTATGCTCTAAAAAGCCATAAAATTTTAGAGATTTTTCAATTTTATTCTCTTTATATCTTTATGAGTTTAAAATCTTTATTATACATATTTATTTTACGTCTCTTTAATTAAATATTAATTATATTTTTAATTACATAATTACATTCATCGAAGTAGCTTAAATTATATTAATATTTCTCTTCTCTGAACTTTAGTAAATAAAGAAATTTATAAATATTTTCAAATGTTAAAATATTAACAGTTTCTTAATAAGATGTACAGAATTAATTAATGAAAGTAGAAAGAAAAGTTATTTTATCACGCTTTGCAATTAGTAAATAAATATTTAATGAATGCGGAAGGAAGTTAATGTAAACTTTAAATTGCTTCTGGGTTTTTACCATTTGGGTTGTTTTTCCCATCTCCGTGAAGCAACAATAACATTTTCTGTTTATCTTTTAGGGTCTGTTAGGTCCGAAAGGTGAGAAAGGCGATTACGGTGATATAGGACCTCCGGGTCTGATGGGTCCACCAGGACTACCTGGTCCGCCCGGATATCCGGGCCAGAAGGGAGAAAAGGGCGAGAAAGGCGAATCGGTAAGGAAGAACAACGACAAAAAAAAAATTTGCTTGCAATTGCATTTTCTCACATTTCGAATGCCTAACGTTTTATCATTTATAATTTTTCTTTTTTCAAATTCTATTTATTTCCCTCCCCCCGGCACGTGTTTTCTTCTTGGAGCAGAAATACAAAAAGCTGCGAAGGCGACAGGTAATCATCAATTCTATACTAATTCCACTATTTTAAACTACACAATTTCGATTTGTACACTCCGCACTTTGATGAATATATAACAAGATAAACACACACCCATCTGCTTGATGGAGACTGGGAGTGTTTGGATTTTATGCTTTTTTTATATTTCTCACGCTGTTCCAGGGAGACGGGACTGGAGAGATGATCGGTGGAGGAGGCGGCGGTGGCGGAGGCGGCGAAGTTGTAAGTCTCAACGCATTCATTTAAACTCTCATTCGTCGCTTGATTACTTTACCTTCTTTTCTTTTGTGGTAGATCGTCGGTCCTCCAGGTCCTCCAGGACCTCCGGGAGTGCCGGGTTTGCAAGGGCCTCCCGGTATTAAGGGTGACAGAGGGATGGACGGCATCAAAGGGGAGCCGGTAAGGATTGAATTAAATGACTTGATTGTTTGTTCTAACTTAACTTCTTCTCTGGGGACTCGTTTCTCTTTCTGTTTTTTTTTTCTCTCGTAGGGCGAGAAGGGCACTAAGGGGGATCCCGGACCGATGGGCTTACCTGTAAGTGTGTTTACGATCAACATTTCATTCTTGCTCTCTGTTGTTTTCTTCGAGTGCGCCACCACTTAAGAAAGGGCCAATTTACTGAATCAACAACACACAACTCTGATGCTTCTTCAGCGTCTCCTATGACTTTGGTATTAATGGTATCTCTGCGCCAAAAGCAAACATAACAACAGAACGAAGAGAGATAACATTCGCTTAATGAAAAAACTACAAACTGTGTATACATTTCAACAACAAATAACGTGCACGTTCTCAAAACACAATTTCTACATATAAAAATAAGTTAAGATTGAAAAACCTCTCCTAACATAAACTAATAAAGAAAATATAATTGCAAAAGACATTTAAAACGCAGATAGAAATCAAATAACGGACTGTTAAAAACAAAACGAAATCAAGACGAATTGCAACTCAAGGCTACTACCATTATTATTAACTCCTCTACTCTTCTCTTTTGGTCGTCGACGTCGTCGTCATCGATAAAACAAATTGAACATAAATTTTAATTATACGCCCGGCCATTAAGCAGATTGCAATCAATTTTATTATTGAAATGCGTTTCTTACACTCCCTCTCTCTCTTTCTCTTCGACCGGACCCACCTTCTTTCATCCTCAACCACCATAAATGCAAATGGTATCACATTTTGCGAATTAATAACGGCTCGAGCAATAAATCTCAATCACTCTCACGGGACGAATTTCTCTTAGAATAGGGAAGAAAATAATATTAAAAAAAAACCGGAGAGAAGCGATCATATACATATTGAATTATCGCTGTGAAACATCACCGACACGAAAATAGATTGCTTTATGCAAATCGAATCCTCGACGGACTCGATCGCATCATGTCCAATATAATTGAGGTATTCAATTAATGCCGCAATGTTCGGTCGTTTTTATTACACCCAATACGAAATTAAATTTATTTAATACAAATTTAACACGCGTTCATATTTTATTTAATTACTCGGCAATCGCTTATAGTACCAATATTATTTAATATTTTGTTCGTTTTAATGGGGATCCTCTCAGATGGCATAAACTAAACTTAATCACTGTTTATTCAAGAAGAAACAGAACTTTATGCTCTAAAAAGCCATAAACTTTCATTTATCGAAGAGATTTTTTAATTTTATTCTCTTTATGAGTTTAAAATCTTTATTATACATATTTATTTTACGTCTCTTTAATTAAATATTAATTACATAATTACATTCATCTAAGTAGCTTAAATTATATTAATATTTCTCTTCTCTGAACTTTAACAAATAAAGAAATTTATAAATATTTTCAAATGTTAAAATATTAACAGTTTCATGCCGCAATGTTCGGTCGTTTTTATTACTCCCAATACGAAATTAAATTTATTTAATACAAATTTAACACGTCTTCATATTTTATTTAATTACTCAGCAATCGCTTATAGTACCAATATTGTTTAATACGCAAATTAAAGAAGAAACTATAGCCTTTCAAATGATTCTACTGCCAGATTTGTGGTGTTTACCGTTTTCTTAATATAGGCTGACAAATTTCAGTAATCAAATATTGTATTTTCATATCATATCTGAACGTTTTATCTAATTACTCAATAACTAAACATGCTAATTAACTTAATTAAGATGGATTTTGAAGAAAAAACTATGATCTTTTCAATGCTGTTTATGTAATTTTTTTTTTGATTGATTTTTTTGTTGTTTAGGGTCCGATGGGTTTGAGAGGCGAGAGCGGAAGGACCGGCGATTATGGGAAGCCAGGTCCCATGGTAAGGAAACATCTCTATAACTAAAGACTTCTTTAGTAGAAAAAAAGTACTGAATATATATTGAAAAATATATATGTTAAAGTACATTATATAAAAAAAAAAGCACCGTTAACCGAACAATGCAGTGATTTAACCCAACGCAAAGAATTCGTTTTGATTGACACCAGAATGTCTGCGAGAAGCAACAAATTTGATTAACTAAAGAGCTTGCACAACTAAAACCAAAATATTAAAAGAAAAAAACACGAGGAGAAGCAGTTACTTCCATTGGATTGTTACGTTTAACAGAGCAAAAAAACTGAAATTTCGACATATTAACACAAGGTTTTATCCTTTTCTTTCTTCTTTCTCTCTCTCTATCTATCTCACACAAACAAAAAAACAAACAAACACTCTTTAACAAATGTTGAACGAATTTGCGAACGGTTTAGGAGGACCTAGGCTGGTGATTTCGCTCGACGACCGGAGCGACCTAAGTTTTAGAGTTATGTTTAGTTACGAAGGACAGTTTTTGCCGTGTGCGTGCGCGTTGTTTTAGCCAAGGAGGAGGACGAAACTTGACGAGGTTTGCTGCTCTTGTCCGCGATTTTAAAACACCGTCCGTTATAAAGAAAAGCCACAAACAGTCCTCTACAGCTTCCTCCTTCCTCAGATCTTAAGCGCATCCCGATCTTTGTTAACTGCAAATGTTTGTGGAAGTAAAAAAAAATTGATATTCTAAAATTGTAATAAGTGATATATATAAACGACGTACTTGCGCGCCCTCCAACGGAACGCGCACACATCTCAAATAATAACACTTATGCAACCACGATATCTCATTGATCCGTTTCCTTGGAGACCGCGCAAAGTATTCAATTTTTTTTTTAATTATATATAAATATTTAAGATAATACGCTGTAATTTATATTGCTATAAGACGTTGTTTTTTTTCTTTCTTTTAATTAAATTAATCTTTTTTTTTAATTTATTTTAAAGAAACAAGAAAAAAGAAACTATTCCATTTGTAGAAATCGCCAAAAAAAAAAAATTACAAGATTAATAATAACAAGTTATATATATAAAAAATTAATTAAATAATAATAATTTTCGTCCATCATAGGTGTACTTAAAAAGCAAACTGTATGAGATGTGTCAATTTAAGGATGTATTTAATTTAGTGATTAGTGAGGATGACGATGATTTTTGTTTGTTTTCAGAGCCGAGGGAAGAATAAACAACCATTTTTTATATGAATATATTTGCCATTATAAATATATATATATACATATTGTAATTTATTGATTCGACATTTTGTAATTTGATTATTAAGTAAAAAAAAAGAAGAAAGAGAAAACCCATTTGTTTTGTGTAAAGTTATATAAAAAATTTTTCTTTTGTTTGTTCACGATATGCAGATTATATAAGAAAAATTATATAAAAAAAATAATAATAATTAATAACTATATGAAAATGTAATTGTAATATATATTATGAATGTTGAGACGACTCCTTTTTCTTTTTTAGGTGTTTTATATATACATAAATTTAACAAACATGTTTAGTTTTTAGCGTGAGAAAAAAACAAAACAAAAGAAAACAAAACGGAGCATTGTATTGTGTAATGCGATTATGTGACTGATTCTTCTTTAGCTAGATGATGGATAAAATATTGTATAAATTGAAAACAGAATGAAAATCCGAATGTTCATCTCAAAGCTTGATGTAATTATATATAAATGATTGTAAGATCGGATCATAGTGGAAAATACGAGAAACACACACAGAAAAAAAAAAACTTAAGAATAATAATAATAAATCTATATATATATGACGAAATAATGACATGTACGAGAAGAGAAATAAATGTTTGTGCATGTGCTGTAATTATTTAAATACTTGCTTGATTTTTTTTTAATTTTATTTTATTTTTATTTCATTCATCTCACGTTTGTGACATGCGACATGAGCATCCCCCCTACATTTCCTCGATTTGTTTATTGTTCTTCTCATCCAGAGAATCCAGCATGCGTCTGCCTGCATCCATTCGTTTATTTATTTCCACAATTGTTTATTTTTTGGTTTCTATTATTTTTTTATATTTTTCCGCAGGGACCTCCCGGCTTAGATGGAATGAAAGTAAGTAGACTTTAAGAGAAAAAAAAAAAAGACATAACAAACACTTGATGATTTTGTTATGTTACATTCTTCATCATATTCCTCTTCGTTTCGTATATTTTTTTTGTTACTTCCGAGGGTTGTGTTTTCTTTCCTTTTCTTCCTTTTTTTTTGTTGTCATCTCGTTTTATTCACTTTAGGGCGCCCAAGGAGAACCAGGGAACAAAGGGGAACGAGGCGATCCCGGTTTGCCAGTAAGTTAAACATGTTCAAACTTTTATAACAACGATCGACTTTGCAACAGCAATAAGAGAAAATCGAGACAATTTTTACTAATTTAAAACTACTTGAATCTTGTGATTAAAATTAATCAAAATATCAAAAGTATAATTATAAACTAATTATTTCTTAATTGTATATTACTTTCTAAAGATGTTAGTATTAAAAAAAACATAACATTAAGATTCTGATGTTACTAATTGAATATATAATTAAATAAGTAAATGATCTGTTTGGGATTTAGCAAAAGGCTATTATTAACTTATTCTCGCGTCGTACAAAATGCATTTGGGACGGTTTCCAAAGAGCTGAGTTTCATCAACAGGTAGGAGCATGTGAAGATGGTCCATTTACCTGGATGAAAGAGGCTGTATTCATACAAAAGCAGGATGCACCTCTCGTCTGTTTTTATACGTTTGTCGTGCATAGAACTATATCTGGCGTTGGTGCTAATGCTCGTCCTTTTCATCATGAAGCGAATTTTCGGTCAAAGATCAACCAAATTACCTGAGTTATGTATTTAGTTTGTGCGCGAAGATTTAACAAAATCCGGAAAGCTTCGAAAGCTCAAACTTGCGAGTTCTTCATTAAATTTGATGAAGAAGTTAAAAGCCTAATATGCACATGCAGATCTTAATGGTTTCATATTAGAGAATTATTTTAACTAAAGCTTTGGAAACTTAATTTTCATTTACTTACATAATTTTAATCAAATGAATGAAATTCAACTCAAACTCAATTTTTTTCTTGTTGTATTTTGTGTGTTTGCTGCAGTGTCGATTGTGAATATTGAATGCAAATGTGGTTATTACCAATTCAGTACTAACGATGATTCATTTTAGGGCACGGACGGTATTCCAGGACAAGAGGTACAAATACAAAACATTTTTTACTTTCACCGCAGTTCTCATGCAACTTGAGATGCTTTGGCCACCGTCGCACGCTTCAAAACAAAAACACCAAAAATATTTAAAGAAGAAATTCCTTCATAATAATAATTAACTTGAGTGCACTTTTATAGGGTCCAAAAGGTGACAAAGGGTACAAAGGAGACGCAGTAAGTACTTGAAGCTAAACTGTGATGTGTTGGGTTAATTTCTGTTTCTTTGTCGGTGTTTTTTTTTTAGGGTCCGTTAGGGAAGAGAGGCCGAAAGGGCGATAAGGGAGATAAGGGAGATCAGGGCGTTCCTGGGTTAGATGCTCCGTGTCCCTTGGGATCTGACGGTCTGCCGTTGCCGGGTTGCGGATGGCGACCACCGAAGGTACGATCCATTATTCAGCAGCTCATCCCGCATCTCCATATCCCAAAACTAAAACAATGAGTTTCTTTTTGGTTTGGCTCTAATCCCCGCGATTTCAGGAGGTCATGCAGCCGTCTCCACCGTCCACTTACCATCATCACGACTTCGAGGCTGAAGACCCGATGGAAGAGAACCAGGAAGGGGATTACGAAGAGGGAGAGGATGATTACGAAGAGTATCCGGAACAGATGAACTCCGCTCTGCCTGTGTCCGCTTCGGCCATCTAACAAAGACAAGAATTAAAGCAAAAGCATATCCAAATAACTCAACTCACCCACTTAGGTTTTATTAATGTGATAGAACACTAATCGGTAACAATCAATAAAATATATTATGCAACTACAGCTACAACTAAACTTCACATTTCAGACTACTTTATAAGGCAACTTACCCCTCGCTCCACGTATAAACATACAAATATATCATCACAAAGCAAACATCAGGACCAAAACTAAAGTACTTACAGTGAAGTGAAAGTATGTGAACGTGTAAATATCATACGAGTCTACTGCCCCCATCTGAGTTTTAAGTACAGTTTTTTTTTTAGGATATTGCTCATATTTATCGAGTTCCTCGTCAACACTTTGCTTGTTTTGTTTCCTCATCTTTGTGAAAGTTTATAAAAAAAAATCATTTGTTTTTTTTTGTACAAATCCCTATTTGTTTAAGTTAATTTTCATAACATTGTTTTTTTCTTTCTGTTAAATTGTATAAATTAAGCAAAATTTTAGCGCATAAATAATTTACGTTTTAAGTTTAAGTTAGTGAAGACAATATCAACTTTCATACTTCCTAGATATTTATAAATTTTAGGTCTTAACTTTGAAATCAGAACATTTTTACACAAGAATTTGAAAGAGTGTTTCTTTTTTTTTACGTAAGCAATAAATCAATCAAGACTTAAACCCGATGGTTACTTTATTTTGCTAATTAAAATAAATATAATGTTACGTAAGATACGTTTGCTTTTTTTAAATTCTAAACTGTGCACACTTTTTTTTTAGATAAAAGTTTTTAGGTAATTCGTTACAGTCTGTATCTTTATATATACTCCAATGTCCAATAAATTCCAACCTACGTGCTCACACATTAATTTTAATTTTGTTACATCTTAATTACAGCCAAACGGATGAAACCACAGTAATAATCGAATACACTTTGTATAAAAAAAAATCAACTTTGTTATCTATTTAAAGTTTCCGAGAAAATCAATAAAACTTTGATTTTTTTAAAGTTAATATTTCATTACTTCATATTTTTAACGCAATTACAGCCTTAAAGCCACAACAATATTTAAATACAATTAATAGTTATTATTCTCCAATAATATGGAAGACACAGCCAAATGGATGAAACCACAGCAATAAATAAATACTCGTTTTATATCCCATAATTATGAAATTTCACATTTGGCGATTTAATTAACAGTACAGGTTTAACAGTGTTAATTTAAAAAAAACTTGAGGATATTGGAAAAAATCGATAAATTAACAGTTATTGTCGTATTTATTTAAAAATCTGTATGTAAATTGCTAAATAATGATGCTTCATCTTAGCTTTGCTACTAAAATCATTAATATTCGTCAATTAATAAAAAAATTATTAAGCAAAAGTTTGTTAAGTAATTATGAAGATGCCTTTATAGCTACAAACCTATATTTAAGCTCATTTTAATCTGTGTATGTTAAAGATTAACATCCATATTCAAAAATCTTCTGGGAGTTGCTGTATACGAAAATACAGACCATTTTCGAAGACGTTATTTTATCATGTCATTAGTAAAATGCAAAAGTTTGTTAATTAATAATGAATATGCCGTTGCAGCTACATACCTATATTTATGCTCAATTTAATCTGTGTATATTCAAGGTTAAAATCCATATCCAACATTCTTCTGGGAGTTTTTGTATACGAAAATACACGCCATTTTCGAAGACGTTATTTTACCATATGTCATTAATAAAATGCGAAAGTTTGTTAATTAATTATGAAGACGCTGTTACAGCTACAAACCTATATTTATACTCATTTTAATCTGTATATATTCAAGATCAACATGCATATCTAAAATTCTTCTGGGAGCCAGTGTTTAATAAAATACATGTAATTTTTATGACACTATTTTCTAACTTGTTCATAAAAGTATAATGTATGATTGGTTGCCAGCATTTTAGGCGTCAAAAGAATATTTCGTTTTTTGTGGTAGCTAGCGACATCTGTTGGCAATATAACAAAGGTTGTAGTTCAGGCATTTTGGCGCTGTACAAAACCCACTTCCTAAAAAGCGTATTAATTTATATAAACCAACTTGTTACAAGAACGATTAAACGAGTTTAATATTATTACATCAATTTAATAAGTTATACACTAATTAATTTTCGAGTTAGATGCGTTTAAATTTTGACATACAGAGCCACCTGTTGGAATTTTCAGGAACTATAATTTGAATTAAGTTGCGAAGGGCCGAATACTGTACTAGTAAATTTCGAATACTTTTATTAGATTTGGTCTTTATTCTGCAATGTTCCTAATGTAAACTTTATGAAGAACTCGCTTGTTTCCTTTTGCTATGCGTTTGTATGGCAAACTGTTGCAATTTGATTAAGTGTTTGAGTTTAACATGTTAATTTCCAACAATCATCAAAGATTGTTTCTCTTCAGCAAAGATAGAACAGAGGTTGCAAGTAACTATGTTAAAGTTTTTATTATTGCACTCCTGCTAGAGCAGTGTTTTCACATTTAATTGACTTACTCGAAAACTATAATAGATAAAATGAATCCAACAGATGCATATGAAAGCTGA